TTGACGACGTTGTTCTTATAACGCTACTATATACCCTTAACGAGACGCATCTCTACGTATATATAGATACGGGCAATAAGCATCTCCTCTATGCCTAACAACGTTAGTAAAGGCTTACTAGTATCTACATTAATAGGCTACGCTCTAGGGTCTATATAGTTACCGCGAGACATAAGATTAGGTAAGCCTCTTAGCTTGTTATAATCCCTCGAAGTACGGCAACGCTTACAGACCTTAAAGGTTTCGGATTCCGGGTTCGTATCTAACTCTATATTGAACTAGCGCTCTTTATAGCCTCTCTATATATGCTTATTCTAGCAGTGCTCTATCTTCTTATTATTAAGCTTGCCGAAGAACTCCTTAACTAACTCTATATCGATGTCGTATAAAGCGGGCGTATAGAGGTTGTCTCGATTGAATATAAGCTTAGGATCTTTACTATTTAGGAAGTGGTTATCGTATGTCTTATCTTCTTCCGAACGAGCACGTATAAGCCGAGTACTATAACCCTAACCGCGACGTCTAGTAGTACGGCTATCTAGTAATAGGCGGCATAGTCGACAATTGTATTTATATTCTATCTTATCGTTATACTTATCGAAGAATAGCACTCGTTCTGCCTCGTAGATACCTAACTAACACTACTTTATCTACGTTTCTCGGTCGAAATTTATATAGGCATAATACTAGCAGGTAGATACGTAAGGAGCCGTAATACGCGCAATTGTACGCGGAACATCGCAGATCTCGTATTAGAACTATAACCGGTTATCTAGTCGCTAATCTAGGTTAGGATCGCTAGCATTGCTACCGAAGGTCTTAGGTAAATTAAAATTACTGCCGAAGTTGTTACTACTAAAGTTGTCGCTACTAGGGTTATCGCCGTATTGCGATAGCTTCTATACGCGTTTAGCATACCTAGCGAGTATGTCGCTAATGCTTAGTGTTTGTAACACATCCTCGTCTCCGGTACGACGACGCTAACGATAGGACCGCGAGATATCGTACTAGGTAGTTCGTATAGTAGCCCTATCTAGGTTATTACTGCTATACTAGCTATATCGGCGGCGACCGGCGGCACCTATAGAAGATTCTATTCGCTAAGACGAAGACAGCAATTACGAAGGTCGAGGCGGAGGTAGCATAGAAGACTGCTACTATAAATTGCCGATGCGAGGAGCGACCGTAATATTGCGATCGGGAGGTATAGGGCTTAGGGCTAAGCTCGGATTAATGCTTAAAGGCGGAGTCGGCGTCGACTAAATACTAATCGGAGGGTTAGAGAGAGCAGGCGTTAATAATAGCCGACTACTACCGATCCGACTTCCTCTATGCTTTAAAGGTGTCTCTTGCTTAGCATCTAGCTTTCTCTTACCCTTGTTCTTGCTTATAGTAGTCTATGCTCGGCATTTCGAATAGGTCTTTAGCTTCCTATTGCCTTTTATAAAGCATCGCCGCTTCTTCTAATAACCGCAATTAGTACAGGTATCTATCTCGCCCTTATAATCGTTATTAACCTTACTATTACTATCCTCCCCTATATTAATACGGTCTACTAGAACGTTTTTCTTCGGAGGCCTACCGCTACTACTACTAGGGGGTCCGCCGCTAGTTGCTACTACAGAACGAGTGCGTATTATTATACGTATACTCTAAACCTAATTAAGGCAAGTATAAGTGTCGGTAAGAGCGGAAATAAGCTAGTTGTATGCCTGCTCGTCGCTAAGGTTAACTATCTAGATCTGCTCTTTTAATTCTGCTAGTTTAGCGTTTAAGCGTACTTCTAGCTTCTTAAGTATAATGTCGAGTATACGTCGGAGGTTGCGACCGACGAAGTTCTTACTAGCGAGCAGCTTCGACTGCTCGTATATAGTCTATTTAAGCTAGCGATAGCCGCGAATGTATAGCTTCTAGTCGCGGCTAGAATGTCCGTAAAGCGCGTAGCTAGTACGATCGGCTTGCGGAGGCGGCTTAAGCAATATACTCGAGGGTATAACCGTCTTAATACGATGCGATTGTAGCTCGTATAGGGCGTCGTATAGGGCGATTTAATAGAGAGCGATCGAGTATTAGCCGATTTAGTAGCACGTAGTATCGCGACAGGGGCGATAAATATCGAAGCGTATAGGAAGGAGTACGAGAAGGAGAAGAAGAAGCTCTAGCTGTCTATTTGTTTCTAGAACCTCGCACTATGCCAATTTAGGAATAGAAGTAGGGCGCGGCTTCTTGTATATAAATGTACGGACTCTAGTAAAGTACTATACCTATCCGCTTGCTAATTAACTATATACCTTATCGTATCTTTGCAAGCGCTATCGATATCCGCATTACTTTTGCTAGCGTTAGCGTTCCGGACAAGTTGAATACTCGCTAAGGCTCGGTCTTAACTTACCCTCTACTTTAGTACCCTTATTTATCTAACGTTAGCGTTCCGGACAAGTTAAACACTCGCTAAGGCTCGGTCTTAACTTGCCCTCTACTTTAGTACCCTTATTCGTCCGACGTTAGCGTTCCGGACAAGTTAAACACTCGCTAAGGCTCGGTCTCAACTTGCCCTCTACTTTAGTACCCTTCTTTTGCTAGCCTTATCGCTTAGGGCAGAAGGGATAGTCGGCACGCCTCCTAAACCCCCTATGCCTACCGCTTTAGTATCCGCATCTTGCTAACGTTAGTCTCCTAGCTAAAAGGAAGCTGTTCTCGGAGCCTAAGGCAGCCGTCGTTATCGTATTAATTACTTTTACTAGCGTGGTTTTACTAGAAATGCGCTCAATCGACTTAACTATATCGGCTTCGGAGGTACTAGTTTAGTACGTAGCGATGTCAATGTCGATACTAACTTAATGTCGATAATATAGCTTCTAGATACGGAATTAAACCCTTAACTAGTATAGTGCTTAAACCTTACCTGCCTGCCTACTATCTTTCCTTCTAACTAAGCTATTACCGTAGGCAGTAGCAATAAGGGTATATTAGCTTGCGAGAATAGACGACTATTAACTAATAACAATCGACTATAACGAAGCGTATACCTAGCTACAACCGGGTGTTAGAGTTGCAGTAATCCTTTGCGCCTAGTTATCGAGTTACGTAGGGAACCTAAGGGATTTAGGCCATTTAATAGTCTTTTCTAAGGCAGCTAGCAGCCTAATAAACTAGTAGAGGTAACTGCCTATTGTCTAAACCTAAAGAAATTAGTTCTCCGGGACAGGTTTTCTATAGTAGTACTTCTTCGGAAGTATGTAAGGTCGAAGTCTAGTAGGCATGTTCACTTAGTTGATTCGTAACGTGTCTTAAGGGGTCAAAAGCTCGAGGTTTATATCGTATCCGTAAGAGTGACTCCAGGTATTGCCCGTCTATAGTTTTTTACCCTTTAGTATTCTTCTTTTTTTTTACTAAGTCCTTTATTACTCTATGTCCTTTATTGCATATCCTTGCTCTTCCTACATTGCGCTTTTACTATTAAAGGTCGCTATAGATAATGGTTTGTTTTGCTATAGAAGGTCGCTATAGGTTTAGGTAGGTAGGGGTAGCACATTACTGTTTTTTTTATCGTATTGTACTATTGGCGCATTGTGCTATTAGCGCATTGTGCTATTAGCGCATTGTGCTGTTAGCGCATTGTGCTATTAGCGTATTGTGCTGTTAGCGCATTATACTGTTAGCGCATTATAGGATCTTCTTTTTAACTATCTCTTCTTAGTATAATCTTCTCTTCGGTACGTACATTCGGTACGTGCTTTCGGTACGTGCTTTCGGCGTGCTTTCGACGACCTTCCGTATATACGTATACGTGTACGTATACGAGACGTATAGGGATAGTAGTAGTGCTGCTATTGTAGTTGCAGTAAAGTTAGAGCGGCACGTAACCTTTCTTTTTAATTTCTACTAATTAGATCGCGCGCTGAGATTTGTATAGGGAGCCTTTTTGCTAATTAAACCCTCGCGATACGCACCTGCAAGTAGGTGCTATATACTCCTTCCAAGTACGAGTCTAATTGTTATTTCGCGCTCGCGTAAGGCTAAAACAGATACCTTCTATAACACTCGTCGCAAGCTCCTCGGTTGCTCTAGGTGCCTGTTTTTTAGCCTCCCGCTTCGCTAGAATAACTACTCCGAAGCTAATTATAAGTAAATAGAAGCGGTCGTTAGCCTATAAGCTAGATATATATATATAAGTCGATAAGATATAGATTCTCGAGTAGACTAGATAGCGGAAATAGACTAGATCGTAGCGGCTATAATAGCGACGACTATAGTAGTATAAAAGGTAGCGTACTCGGATAGTAATACTGCTATATTAGTACTAGAGTCTCTAAATATAGTATATAAGAACTAGGTAGCGAATACAGTTATTACGACTACTATTAAGATATTTATAAAGCCGGAAGTTAACTACTTCGTACTATACTTCTATACGCGCTATAGAGTAGATCTAGTAAGCTCTATAGCCCTTTATTTAGACTAAAGAAGGCGTATAAGTATACTAGTATATAATTATAGTCTATTACTAATAGTTATTATCGTTATAGGTAGTCTAATAATCGATACGCGACTAGAAGACGCGTAGTATTTAACTCTATAGTATAATTAGTCTTAAAGCTTCTAACTATATTTACTTCTAGTTAGTCTACTATCTATTCTATCGAAGCGGACCTATACCTACCCTTCCTTATAGCGTAGGTACGATAGGGCTACTAAACTATAGAGGTTAGGTCGAAGTAGTTAGGTATAGCAAGGGGCTAGAAGCTAGTTGTTTACTTACTAACCTAATCTATCGATGCGTTCCATTAGAGTTCAGTTGCTAAAACGCTAGAGTGAGCGCATCTTCATTCACCGGCCAGTACGAATCACCGACATATGTCACAGTCATCGTTGGGACCGCTGTCAACCCTACGCTAACCATGCCATTTCCGAAAAATAGGGCAGTCCAGTGCAAAGTCCGCGCGACTCCGTAGCCAAGGATCAGGCAGCCGGCAGGAACAACCAATGTAGGGATGATAAGAAGATGGAGTCCAGTCTCTGGCAAGAACACCGACATTCCTTTTGCTTTTCCAATCACTGTACCGGTCTACAGCCCATCCTCCAACGAACGCTCCGATCAGATTTCCGATAAGGCCTGGGATATTGATCAGACCATTCACATCTGGAGTCCAATTGTATGGCGGAGCTTGCAGGATGAATGAGTTCAATATACTGATGGCGACAACCCAAGCTGAGCTGACTGTAAAACCAAGGAAGGCGAGGATCACAGCCGGATAGGCGATCATGGGTAGCGGTCGGAGAAAGAGTTTGAGGAGGTTGGTGTCCTTTGGAAGGCCCGACCAAAGGCTAAGCTCCTGGACATAGGTTTTGCTCAGAATCGGAGTGGATGGTGTAGGATGGATCGAATGAAGTGCTGAGACCATAGGGTCTTGCAAAGCCTTCTCAGCATCACGACAGGTGTGCAGAGTAGGTGCAGCAATCGACTGGCGACCGTGCTTGACTTGGTCACTATTAGGGGTGCACACCGCTAGGCTTTCGTCTGAACTATTTGCGGCCGGCTCTTCGGGCAGGGACGTGCGATCATAGCGTGTCTCCGGCACAAATAGCAGGACTGCTAGGAAGTTCAGAGCTGTCGCTCCAAAGGCGCACCACTTGTGTATACGCCAGGTCGAGCCAGTGATCACGAAACCGCATATCAGTGGCCCAATGGTATTGCCCCCAGATATCGCGTTCATATACCAGTCCATCAGGTTGGCTCTTTCGTGCTGTACAGCATCAGCCTCGAATGATACAGCCACGATGCCACCACGTCGGAATGCTTACTAGAAAGAACACATCGTTCACGATCGAAGCAGCAAGTGCCTCGCTTGCCGAGCCCGCAAAGGCAGCTATAACATTGCTCCACAGAAGACTCGGAAATGTCTTCGGAAGAGCTCCCCAAAGATAGCAGACTGTCAGTAGAAGAGTTGAGACGACGAAAATCGGTCTCTTTCCGAAGAAGTTCGCCAGAAGTACCCAGAAGAAGTTGAAGAGTCCCAGTACCAGAATCGGCCAAATTAGAAGCTCGCTGGTCTCGGTCATGGATTTGTGAGACTCGATGCTTAGAGGATAAAAGGCCGGCGCGAGACCTCCAATGGCGTAGTTGGTGAAGAACGCGAAGGCGCAAACACTGCTGAAGCAGGTGTACTTCTTCCACTTCGGCCATCTCAGAGGATCGTTTGGATCGTAATGGTTTGGTTGCGGGTGTAGGATTAGTTGAGCATGATCTTGTTGTGCGTGAAGTTGTACGGTGCCCTCGGAGCTGTCAAGCTCTGCTCTCGTAGTGCATGGAGCCGATATTTGAGCAGTGCCGTAACACTCGGCGCTGGTGGACGGCTCCTCTCTCAAGTTCGTTTCAGGTTTCGCACGTCGGACACAGGTTGGGCGAGAGTGGGAGATGCAGTTCTGATTTGGTGTAGAGGAGAGGGTTGTGACTATGCAGTCCATCCAATAGGCAGAGCCGGGTTCAAGCCATCGACGAGAAATAGGAAGGCGAAGGTCCGACCACACTTGCAATAGCACAGCCAGCTGCAGTACGACTCTATGATGAATTACTATCCGTTACTACACTGAGCACGACGCGATCTCTGGCCATGGCTTTGGCGTGGTCACGGTCTTGGTTGAGTGCAATTGTGAAAGTCCGTCGGATGCTGTACACGTAGACGAAAGTGCTCTTCTTCACATACTGTACGACTGACTCCGCACGTCCGGCTCCGAAACCTATTTTGCACTCCAATGACCGCGACATTGAATTCTATACCGAGCATTCATCAATCTCTGCGGAACAGGTGTAGCGGCGGAGCGGCGGAGATGGAGAGCCGATCAGGCATGAGTCCAAGATCAGGCATCAACTTCGGACCGGAAAACACACAATGTCTCTGTCGCTCCCAAAGCACCACCACGTCCACGTCCTCGGCATGCGTAACATCCAAGTACCGCGTAAGACGCTGGATGCTACCTCGCCATCCTCTCTTTGACAACAGAGCGCTCGAGACGGCGCAAGGCTGAACATGCGCGACCGCACTGCTTCGACCAGCGACACGTACTTTCCTTCCCCTCGGCCAAACCGCTGGATCAACATATTTGAATACACCCCAGAGGTGTCTCTGGAGATGCTAGGAGGCGAGGCTCCCTGACATGCAAGTCTGAAGTGCTTGCATACTCCTTGGGCCGAGGCTGTGCCTTGCGCTTCCGCTTTCTCTATCATCACCCTCATCAAGCATAGGATGAAAGCTACAGCGACTGGAAGAGGTCACTGTCGCTCGCCCCGATGTATCGTTTGGATGTTTGCAAAGGTCTGTGGCCCTCTGCCTGCCTCTCTTGTTTACCTTTTCTTCATGTCTCTGTCCGCCAGCTATGCACCCCTTACTTCCTCAGCTCCCGCAATGCCCTGCAGATTTCATCAACACATCATTGGGCCACACTTGATCAGATCCAATAAGAAATCAGATTCAAGAGAGCTCATGCACGACATCGAGCGTCAGACGAACGACCAAGCTATCACTCCCACGCCCTTGGTGCGCCTGGCTTCTGTTGACAGATCGAGGAGTCTGCATTCCACCCCTCACGTCCACCATAGCGGAAACCTGAGGCTCGTATATGAGAATGGGGGAAGTCGCATGTCCGTTGTCTAAAACACGAGTGCCCGTGGTGCGTCGGCTCACGTTCAATTTGCTCGACCTGTCACCGTGTCGTAACGAATAGATTGCTTGGTCGCAATGGCGTCGAGGATGACCAACTACCCTGAGGACTGGAGTCCAGTACCACAAAAGATATCGACGAGGCCAGCGAACTACGAGCCGAGGGATGCACGAGCGAGTTTGCCAAAGAATAGCGATCGGGCACTGCGGCCAAAACCACTCAATTTGCCTTCGAAGCAACCACAAGATTCGAGCGTGCTGAAGTCAGTACAGTCGTTGCGGCAGGAGAGTACTGAGTCATCGGAAAGCCTTCGAGATCCTGAGATCGTGGACGTTGGATCAACAACGCAATGGACTCGACGAGACCATCATCCGCGACGTAGCAAGCGTGTAACGTCGCGCAGTACGGCGTCCCAATACAGCGCACGCCAGTCGGAGATCTCATTGGGAATCTTGGATTATTACATGCGCGATCGAACACCCTCCCTTCACAGCCCGGAATTGCCACCACCCACACCAAGACTCGATCCAGCTATAGCTGAGCTGGACTTTGGAGAACTACCGCCCACTCCAACACCAAGCGCAGCGCCTACACCCGCGCTCCCAAGCAGACACACAGGACCCTACCAAGAGGCCAAAGGGCAGCCATTGATTCCCCTTTCGCCACCATCAGCAGTCCGACCATCAGCTACTCTCACCCGTGGGTACAGTCTTTTTCCAGTGATCAAGGAGGTGACACCGCCACCTCGACACCCAGAAATTACCCACATTCCGCCTATCACCTTGCGCGACATCACGCCAACAAGCGTCAAGAGTACGCCCTCAATTCCCTCACATCCGAGCTCAGATCCAATCCACAGACCAAGAAAAGAGTCCATCTCCAGCTCCGTCCGCACTCGTAACGACAGCATAAATTCCTGCCGCGCAAAGCAGAGGTATCCGATCCCATTGCGTATCCTCAGCTCAGACAGCACGACTACCACACCTCCCGCCAATCACCGTCGGCTAATCTCGACATCTACGGCAACGACCTCGCCACCAGCTGAGCCACAAAGCAGATGGTCAGATGATACTATCGCGTCGCCTTCTTTGGCGCCCACACCTGGACCACGCACAAGCTTTGGATCCCTACTCAGACGCGATAGCCAGCAGTATCCGGCTTGCTTCTTCGAGGATGACGATGATGAGGAAGCACCATTGCGGAGGAAATGGGCTTGGAAGACGAGTGTCAACTCGGTGTCGACTGGACGCGATTCAAAGATGTCGACGAGGAAATTAGTGAAGGGAAAGTACGATGAGGTCGAATCGCCAAGACCGTGCTTTTGGCAGTTGATACTTTGTGGCTGCGGAGGGAGGCGATGACGGAACTGTTGCTCAGATTCTTATGTCTACGATTGCTGTGAAAAGCTTGACGGCCGCGTGGGTGACATGATGGAATGTACATGTTTTCAGCTACACAGATCGCCGAAAGTTTGAAATCCAGCATTTCCTGCCTCTACTCGTTCCGTAACCTAGGCCAAGAAAAATGTTCAGATATCGAAGATCATTCATCAGGCTATGCGGATCCAGCGCTTTCTTGGTCTGGCTCGTGACATGTACAGTTTCCTGCCATGGTCATGCCTTGTTCGCCCGTGCTTGTGCCTTCCTGCTCGATTGCCATACCTTAGCTGTGACTGTCTTCACGTGCTCGACTGCGGCTTTCATCACTGCTGGGTCTGAAGCGTCGTAAAGAATCGTTTCTGCGCGCAGACCTGCATGCAGAACGTTGTTAGCCAGCGCTGCAGTCAGATTGATGATCCAATCACGCATGGTGCCGTATCAATCCTTCTCCCAGCTCCACTTCCTATGTCCACAATCATGACCCGACGCGATGTACGTTGGAGTGTTGCATGTTCTTGTTGCGATGTGACAGGCGCGATGACTCCGCCGAGATGGAGAGGGGAGGTCTTTGGGCGATGGTTGCTCCTGACAACAGGCGACAGCCGCCGACAACACCGCGAAAAGCGACGACGATGAGGATGACATGGTCCAAAGCCGACACCGACACACTCCAGCAGCAAAAAAATGTCCAGTTCTGAAGCGGGGGCGGCGGCGGCGGCGGCGCTGGCGGTGGAGATCCGACGAGTGACGACTTCGCCATATCCAACGCAGCTGCGTACGCTCCGAGATCTGGTCCTGCAGTGCAGCGACGCCGACATCTCGCAATGGGCAGCCGCCAAGCCATGCGATATCCCGACTCTGGCATCGTGTCTTCTTGAAGGCCTTCAGCAATGGCCCTACGTCCTCGAGATCATCGCCAAATTTGCATGCAACATCACATGCCGAGACGCCTTTCTCCATCACGAACCGACTCTGCTGCATAGCGTGGTAGCGCAGAGCGTCAAGAGCGGCGACTTGCGCTCCAAATATGCCAGAGCCAGTGTTGCCCTGCTCTCCACACCTCTTCCCGATACCATCGCGCTTCCTGCAGACGCCCAGACGCTGTTCATCAATTTCGTCGAGAATGCAGCACGATCGCCCTCTGCCGCAACCATTGAGCCGGTCTATCTCATCCTGCATGGCACCGGCAACCTGTTGCTCGGAGTCTTGAGCAGCCATGTGCTTGCCAAGTTCGAAGAGCACCTCCTGGATATTCTACGCAATGTCAGCGGCACCTCCGCCCTCAGCCTTTACTGCCTTTCCATCATGAACACAGTCTGCTGCTCCATGGATCCCGAATTTCGCTTGACCAACAGCTCTTACAACACCCAAGACTTTCTGGCGAGCACTCCGGCTTCATCAAGGTGGAAGTCCGAGGCCATGCAGCAGTTCTTCACCGGCAGCAAAGCTCAGAAGAGCACGCAACTCGTAGTTCTACTTGTGCTCTGGGCCACCAAGACGGAGACGATTGACTCATGGGCTGAAAAGACCAAGGCACTGGTGTTGTCACTTGAAGTCCTCTCGGCAATTCCCGTCGACTTGAGGAAAATATGGTGCACTGGCAACCCGATGCTTGTCAGAAAGCTGCAGGAGCGACTTTGCTCCGAAGAGCTGGCAAGCGCACACAAAACGTTGGCGCTGCGCTTCATTGGTATGCTTTGCGAGTTGGACTCGCTTCCACATCCCGTCGTAGAATCTCTCGAGACGACTTTTCTGGAGGCTGCCAGCATGCAGGCAGTTCACACCCTGTGCCCACACCTCGACCATAGCGAGCTGTTATCGAGCATACTCATACGCGCACCTATCAGCATGCTTTTGGAGAGCGCTGTCGATGTTGCCACGCGAGCAGAGTCTGTAGAGCTAAATGTCAGTCTGGATGCCGTGACGACCACAATCGCCCAAGCACAGATTGTCATCGGCAGTCAAAAAATAGCGGTCCATCAGATTCGACAGCTTTTGAATAACGAAGAGTTCCTTGCACGTTTGGAGAGGCTTTCGAGTCTCTTATCACGACCATCGACGACTCAGGAGTCAACTTCGCCTGCGGGCTGGTGTGAGAAGGCATTATCAAGATCAAGGTGTAAGCTGGCGCATCAGATTAGCAATCTATTTCTCTGGGCATGTCAAACTGCTTCTGTTGGAGCACAAGCAATGACTGTCTTGCTGGACTTGCATGCTTCATCCGCTCGAGGCGATCTACCCTGTTCTCACGAACGGCCTTCTTGGCGCGATGAGCTCACATTTGGTGAAGACAACGGTGACCAGAATGAACACGACGATCTCGACTGGCGAGAAGCTTTGCATACGCATTTCAGAGCGAGAGCTCAAGTTGAGCAAGATGCAGTAACGAGGCTTTTCACAAAAGCCTGTGCAAATCTGGAGGCCCGGTGCGAGGACGTGGAGAGACCTCTGCGTGAGGAGCAGCGTAGATGCAAGGCTGCTGAGGATCGAAATGCCAAACTCGTCCAAGCTTTCGCCGAATTGGAAACGCGATACATGGACCTTACATCACAGAACAGGACTTTAGAAGAAGATCGCAAGCAGCATTTCAAGGAATTGGAAGCGTGCCAAGAAAGCCTTGATGCGGCTGAGCGAAGAGGCGATGAGACTTTTCAGCGAGTCTCACATCTAGAGAAACAGCTTCGCGAAGCAAACGAGGCTGGTAAGCGTCAAATTGCCGAAATGAATGAGGCCAAGCAGATTGTGGAGGTCAATGGAGCTGCACGGCTCGCGCAGAAGCAAGAGCAGCTTGAGGATGCACAGGACGAAGTGGCAGCTTTGAAGACGCGATACGACAACGAAGCAGTGCGTGCTTCGAATGCGGAGCAGAACTTGGCAGCAGTCCAGGTAGAGCTCGATAAGACCAAGCGGGAGCTGGCGACTTCAACTTCTGCCGCACAAAGGCTACATCTGGATATGGAGCGCCTCCAGCTCGAGACTCAGCAGTTGAATGCAAGCAACACTGCTCTGGAGGAGCAACTGGCCAAGACAAGTGAGAGTGACGCGACCAAGATGCAAGAGATGGCTGAGCTTCGAGACGAACTGCAGACGTGCCAAGCTGAGCGTGGTCGCCTTCAGTCGGAGGCGGTTCGTCAGATGGAGGAAATGCAGCACGAGCTCGAGCAGAAGCGTCGGGAGGCAGACCGTCTAGCGAGTCAGTACTCAGAAGACACTGAACGACTTCATGGGCAGGTATCTGGCCTACAGCAAGACTTGTTGCAAACCAGAGACTCACTCAGTGCCGAGATCGAAAGTCGCAATGCCAAGGTCGCGGATTACAAGAAACGGCTTGAACGATATCAAAAGAAGTGCGAACAGAAAGATCAGCAGATTGCCGAAGCAGAATCGATGCGCGTAAATCTGATGGCCGCCATGGGTATTCGCGGTACGCAGAATCGCGCAAGTCTGCCACACCGTTCACGAGAGTCCGTGGCACCGGCCTTGGTTGACACTCAATCGGACGCGTCCCCGCCTACACCGACATCTTCGAGCAACATGGACGTCGATGCGTCGAGCGTTGACCAGTCTTTTGCTTCAAATGCTTCCAACGAGCCTAAGAACGGATCTACGCCTAAGAGGCCACGACCCCGAAAGTCTTTGTCGTTTGCAGCTCCTTTGACCACGAAGCCACGTGCGAGCAACGGTTTAAGAACGTCCCGCACAAGCATCGCAACGAGACAGAGCATGGGGCGTCAGGCTCTGCAGGGAATCAGTGGCAACCGACCGTCACTCACGTCGAAGACTCCTGTCAAAGAAGTGCAAAAGGAGGTTGGCGCCGAAGAGGAGGCATCCACATTCGAAGGCAGCGAGCTCTTCATTGGCACACAAGAGCAGCATCTGGTGGATCTGCAAGCTGCTTTTGACGCAGCAAATTGAGATAGTTGAATGGTGGTACGGAGGACTGGTGTGATACGGTGTATAGGAAGCATAAGGTAATGAAGCTGAAGCAGAGAAGACTCCAAAACGAGTGAAGTTCTGACGGGCACTCGGCTGGCTTGGCGGGTGGCAGCTCTCGCGGCAAATGTGTCTCACGAATCACGTGTGGTACAAATATTTCGGCACCGAGGCGTCGTGAAAGCAGGAACTGCAGGTGAAGCCGCCCGCCCGCCCGCCCGCCCGCTACCAGCAGCCTTGTTGTCGCAGTGTTTGTTCATATTGAATGGCAGTAGTGGCAGTGTTTGCTCGACCGGTGTTGTTGTCGTGAATTGTGACGCGTCAGCTCAATTATATGACAGACACGTGACCTCTTGGTATAAAGAATTTTCACACTGTATTTTAGACTACAGAGCAGAGCAGAATATAGGCAACTAACGAAGCCAATTCAATCGCCGGCAATACAGTATTACGTAAGTAATCTACTACGCTATACGTAATAGTTATAAGCCCGGATTTAATCCGCGGTATTAGAGACTTCTATAGTAGGAAAGAATTTTTCTATTCTATAAGACCTTTAATAATCGAATCGATAGTCTTAACGGTACTATAAAAGCAACTATCTATATAAGCTTCTATAAGCCTCTATAATCGCTTTAAAGTAACGTTAGCATATCCTTAATAGCCCTCTTATTAGCTAGTCGCCTCGGTAGTAGCAAGCTTATTATCCTTTATAGACCTAACGACTAGGATCGATAGTTTAAGCAAACTAAGACGTACCTAACTAGATATAAGACCTAGGTCCTTACTAACCTATATTCGACTAAACCTGCTAAACTAGTATAACCCCTTCTTCCGGAGTTCGATATAGAACAACTTGTAAGCAACCCCCTATATTAGGCTAGGGCAAAGCTTACTAAGGAACACTTTAATATAAGGAAGGCGGAGTTTAAGCGCTTTAGGATAGCTCGCAATAAGACAATTAAATATCTAGCTATAACTATAGACATTCGCTATTACTTAGAGATTACTAATCCTAATATAGACAATATAGTACTAACTATACGGCTTATTCTAACTCGATTGAAGAATAAGCTAGTACCTAACACTTAGTAGCAAAGGACTACCCTTAGTAAGGAGCTTTACCGCCTTGTAAATTCTAAGTAGGTAAAGGACCCTAAGCACTAGTGCGAGGAATAGCTTAACCTTTATAAGACGATAAAACGTATACAATACCCAGAATTTAACAACTTAGTAACCTACCTATATACTATAGTTATAAATATAGATAAGACCTATAGAAAAGGCCTCTATATAATACACTAGGTAGGGCTATTAGTTAACAACTTCTATTAACTAATTAGTATAGTACGAGAATATACCCGCAATATACTAGGTACTTCTATAAAGAAGGGTTTATCTTTTAGCATTATCTGCGAAGAAACAGGTAAAGCTAGTGCTAATACCGCTCTATAAGCTACGGATAACAATAACAACGATAAGCCTAATAAGAATAAGGGCCGTAGTAATAGCAGCAACCGTATACTAAAGACATATACTAAACTTACTAGAGTAGGTAAGAAGAAGGTATATAAAAACCGCGGCAAGTGCACTATAGTAAACTACCGACTTCGTAAACAAGTTGAAGAGAAGGACAAGGATAATGAGTAGAAAGGAAAGCTAAAGTACTTTAAGGCCTACCTGCGTAAGAATAAGGGATTCTGCTTAAGATAAGCTAAGTTCTTTAAGGACCTACTAGCTATTAAGATTGCCTAGCAACACTATAGACTTTCGGCTAAAGATAGTAGAGACGATGCTAGAACAGGCAATAGATTAGACAAAGTCTTACTAGCCTGCTTCTTTAAGCCAGACACTCTAGACCTATTAGCCTTTGTATTAGTTACCCTAGCACTAACTACCAACTATCTATTAATAGCTACAAATAGGAGCAAGAAATAGAACCCCTTTGTTGCCCTAATGTACGATAGTAGATCTGGCTGCAACATTGTTAACTACCCTAGTCGCTTTAACTTTTAGGCAATATTTATTCTACCGCGAGCTACTATAGCAATAGGAACTAGATATAACAAAGTTATCGCTATCGGAAGGGCATCTTTTACAGTTAATTTAGTAGTAGGTAAACCCCTAACCATTAAGCTAAAAGAGTGCCTCTATATCCCTAATTTCTACACTAATATTGTTAGAGGGGCAATCTTCTATTACCGTAGGTTCAAGTATAATAAGCTTAATAATGTTCTCTATAACCTATAAGGGAAACTACTAGTCCCTCTTGTTAGACCGGACAACTATATACCCTATTTCGATATTACCTATAAAGCAGATAGTAAACCTCCGCTTAAATAGCTAACAGGGGATAAAGGCAAGCTACATTTATACCCCTTCTAACTGTCTTAGTTATCCTACGTAATAGCCCGTCGCTCCGCACGCCTACTACCGCTAAGGAAGCTTATACTAAAGCAAATACATAAGGTTTTTAGGCACCTAGGTACTAAAAGAGCAGAAAAGCTAGTTAATAGGGTTAATAGGATAACAAGAGATTACACATATAACAATAAGGTACTAAGAATACTACTTTGTCCTATATATATATAAGTAAAGGGAAAGAGGCTTATCTCTAGGAGGCTAAGACACTATAATATATTAATATTGACTCTATATAGACACATTGCAGCCGACTTAATGCAACTAGATACAGCCTACAATAGCGACTAGTATATCTTTTACGTATACGACCTAAATACTAGCCTTTATTTTATATAGACTATTAGCAATCGTTAGGAATTAACTCTTCTATAATACTAGAACTAATTAGCTACCTTCGTACGTAGCATTGGCAGAGACATTATATGCCTGTTATCTAATAATAAAGGAGGTGTTTTAGGCTTTCGGTTTCGATCCTATCTACGCAATAACTATACTACTTAGAGGCTAACAGCCCTATACACATTAGAGCAGGACCTAGCAGAGCGAGTAGGCCGTACTATTATTAAGGTAGCTCGAGCCTTAATAATACACGCTAGATTTCTACACAACCTATAGCTAGAAGCAGTTTATATAGTAACCTTCCTAGCTAATAGGTTACTAAGGTTACGCACTGCCGACCTACTAATGCGAACACTATATAAGATTAGCACTAGCTATAAGCCAAATGTAGCCTACATCTACTAGTTTAGAGCAAGAGCATATCTAGTAATCTACGGCATAGAGGCAACTAATAGCAAAAGGAAGGCTATACTGCCAAATACTATAAAAGTAGCCTTACGGACCTATATTAGGTACCTATATAGCTACGAGGGACACTCTATCTATCGGATATAGGTACCCTTACGAATAATAGTGCTACGCATAAGAGACGTTGTATTTAATAAGACTAAGTTCTATAATAGCTATAATAACGACTTAGGCGTTGTTATAACTAACTAAGAGCTTATAGAAGAATACAGTAATCTCAAAGAGCTATAAGCACCCGCCTCGGAGTATTAGTTTAACGAACTTCGAGAAGCCTACGATACACCTCTAGACCTTATTAGGTTTAGAGCTAAGGGGGTAGATATACTAATAGGGCCTAGTCGACTTATAATAGTTAATAGGCTAACAGATAACTCTATTAGACTAGAACTACTACTACCTTAACTACTAGCACTAGCTAAGCTACAGCTTATATAGGTGCCTATATAGAAACAAGACTTTCTAATTAATCTACGCGAAATACTATAACCGCGTAATAATATACTAGATAGATTAATAGAACTAACTATTAATTAGCAACTACAACCTAAGAACGATACTAGCAATAAAGCCCCTACTAACAAAGTAGACGCACTAGGTTATACAGATAATATAGACTTTAACTTACTACGTGCTAAGCTAGCTAAATTGCTAATGCTAATTAAAGCCGCTAATGTATCTTATCGTTACTTACTAAACATAGGAGGGCCGCATTATCGAGTTAATAACCTAAACAAACGATAGCGAGTAGCGGCTATCTACCGAGCCGGCTGTTACTATATTAGCGACCGAGAACAAGCGAGAAACCTCCTTCTATTTAGCAACCTTTGTATAGCCGCCGAGTATAAAGCACGCTTTATATAGCCTACTCGATCTAATAAGTCTTATTTACTAGACCCGCTAGCGCTACTACTTCTACGAGACGAGAGCGATCTAACCCTTACACCGAAGGTCTTAGACCTGCTAGTAGAGCTACGTAACTAGCGACAGGTACTTAAGAGCCGGTTTAAGGAACAATAGATACATACTATAAGAGTTGAATTTAACAAGGCACTAAAGATACGTACCTTTAAATAGGTAGATCTAAACACACTAGATAAGCCTAATCTTCTACCTCTTACCTAGGTATTCAAATACAAGGGTAATGCTAATAGCCGACTAATTAAGTTCAAAGCAAGAGTATATACAAGAGGGGACCTTTAGAAGAATACACACTTAGACACCTATGCCTTAATACTAGCTATACGAGTCTTTAGAGCTCTTATAGCTATCGTAGCTAAGTTTGACCTAGAAGCTAAGCAAATAGATACAGTTAATGCCTTCCCTAATGCTATGTTCCTACATACGCTATACCTTAGGCCGCCTAATAGATTTAAGTAGAAGGGCAAGGTATTAAAACTAATGCAAGCGCTCTATAGTCTATAGGAGTTACCTCGGCTATAGTACAATTACTTTACTACTACCCTCGAGAACAAGCTCGGAATATAACCTACCGATAACGTAGACTGCCTTTATACTAATCTAGACAAGCACGTGTTTATCTTCTTTTATATAGATAATATAGTGCTATTATACTACCGTTAATATAGGCAGAAAGCAATAGACCTTAAGTAGAAGCTAATAAAGGAGTATAAGCTTAGTAACCTAGGGAAACTCTTATAGTTCCTCGGTATTGAAGTTATACGTAACAGATAGAATAGAAAGCTATAGTTGTTACAAAAGGTATATACTAAGAAGATAGGTTAGCGTTATAGAATTAATCCTAAGAATAGTAGGCGAGTAGAGGCACTATTGCCGACTAGATACGAACTATACGAGAAACCCTCTAATAAGGAGACTCGTTATATAGACTTATTAGCAATCCTAGCCTACTAGAGCCGTATAGGTTTACTTAACTTTGTAGCGGTACAAACCCGGCCGGACATAGCTAAGGCGGTTTCTATGCTGTTAAAAGCCCTTTAGAATCTACGGCAAGAAGACATAGCCGCTACTAATTAGTATATTAAATACCTGCTACAAACAAAGCACCTATACTTAGAATACAACGCTAATAGACTAGCAATTACTGCTTATTTAAGCCAACAGCTTCATAAGTTTTACGGGGCTTCTAATGCCTTATATAGTAACTATAAAGGCACTAGACAGTCGTTAGAAGGATAGATATTTAGCTTGTTTAACGGA